GAGATTGTTCTAATACAATTACTTATTACTAGGTGTGATTATATCGCCAAGATTGGAAAATTTCAAAATTGGTTCTTATATATCACACTACCTATCTCACTGTCTGTTTCAGAAGATAACAAAAACTAAGAAGTGTGTGATCAGGAAGATATTTAACTTTGGGTCTGGGGCTGTGAACAAATACACTAGACTTCAGCCTGCATCCTTGCATGGGGACAGTTACTTATTTGTCTCAAACTCATTCTTTGGATAGAGTTGAACTGAGCACCCAGCAGCATAGGCATGGGTCATGCTTCTTCCTCACTGAAGATGTGTTATACTCAAACAGACTCATCTGGAGATGCTAGCTACATCACCACTTTACCAATGCTTTTTTATTAGATCTAAGGGTACTAGAATGGGAAAAAGACTCAAGCAACTTGCTTATACTGGAAGTTGAAAGAGCCTTTTGCCACTACATCTTTGTTGGAAACACAGGAACCAAATTCTCTCCACTGCCACTGACCTTCAGGCAACAGACAAGACTACTCTTGAGTGAAATCATAATGCTAGAGACTAGACAGGCCTTTCTTTCTTACAAATTTACAATCTACTTTCTCAATACCCAGCCATTTAAAGAATAGATGTTGTTTAAGATGTCTTAGTCTACTTCATTTTCTAAACTTATATAGAACTAAGAGAAAAGGTGATCACTTCTATTTAATGTGATATCTCTATACACGGCCCACAGGAAAACTTTTGAAAAATAATTGTTTCAAAATTCTGGCAATCAGTATGTGATTTTCATATATATATATGTATATATATATATACATATATATGTATATATGTATATATATAGGCTATATAAATATTCATGCATATTAAACATAACCTTATTATGTACATGGCCCATATTTACACAACTATAGGCTTCCTATATGTGAGTATATATATTCAGATTATATTGCAGAATTTAAAAAATGTGCTTTTTCATTGTCACTATTAGTATAATGAAATTCTGTAGTGTATGTGGCCATGCGTGCTTAAACAGACATGGGATTTTTCTGGAAAAAACCATGCCAAGTTACCAAAATGTTTTCCTAAGAAGACAGAAAAATATATCCTGTAGAATGGGAAGTTTTGTTGCTTCTCTACTTGAGTAGATAGGAATGCATTAAAAAGTATATAGGTATTTTATAATAATTGGTACAATTCATGAAATATAAGATACATACAGATGCACATGTCTACACAAATATATAGTAGATGACTTCAATGTTTCCTCAGATATCAGCACTTATGGACAGTCAATTTTGAAGTCAACAAAGCATTGCAGTTTGTGAGTTCTTGTAAAACTTGACTTCATCTACAAGCAGTCTAAGTCAAAGCTAAGTGATATACACATGATCATAAGTCACATTATATGAGTATTTCTGATCAGCAATATGTGTCACTTACTTGACATTACAAATGCTTTAATTTTTTGCTATACTGAAGTACAAATTAGATAGTTGCCAACTTGAAAGAGGTTACTATTTTAGCTAAAAGTAATGGTACGTATCTTAAATCCAAAAAATTGATATCATTTGCACTTGTATTTTAAATTTAAAAATTTTGATGAGAAAATAAGCAATTCTATTACAAAAACCACCATCTAACCAATTATTCTTTTCTCTATCCTTTAAAGTCCAAAACAAAATGGATATTTCTGGTTATATGATATAATTTAGCCGATAGGCACATCTGAGGAAGATGTCATTAATACCTTTTGACTTATACAGGAATAATTTATAAACAGTCTGGATTTTCTCCTATTTTTGAAAATGCAAAAAGACCTTATTCATAGGAAAAGTAAAAACCGCTAAACATGTTTTGTCATAGGCAAGATTTTAAAAATATTAAGTACATAATTGAGGTTTAAAATAGGTAAAACAAATTCAAAGGCCATGATAAGATATTCATTTTTCTGACCTGGTACCACAGAATCACCATTCTTAATTTTCAATAATATGGAGGTGTTCTAGCCTTCCTGAAGGACATAAATCCATCCAAGTTCCTTAAACTATTTAAATTTCATTCTTGATATGAAAGTTTTCCTTAAACATATTGGACTTTAGTTGTTTTACTTTCAACACAACACCTACAGTTATTCTATATTAATAAATCAATATTCTCAACTTATTATGAATTTAATGTCAGAAACATTATTTCAAAGTATCATCATCTTCTCAACTCATATACACTCTCATATAATTTCTCTCATTTTTTTCATCATTTATTTTCTATGTACAAGATATTTCTAGAAGTCTTCATTGTTATTCAACACCAGCTCATTAACACTTTAGGAAAACTTTTCAGTACATTACTAAAATAATTAAAAGTAAGGAGTAATATATATAGCTTTTAATCAATAACAAATATTCAGATACTGTTAACACTTGTGCAACAAATCAAAGCAGAGCAGGAGCATGCACAGAATACTGGGACCTTCCAATTTCACACTAATAAACATGGGAAGCATCAGCAATAAGCACTAAAACTGTTACTATGGTATATTTTGAAGGGTATAATGTAAACTGATCTCCAATCACTGACTTACCCAAGACAGTGAGCTCTGCCCAGGAAAACACTAATGTTCTCATTCTTATATGTTACAACACAAGTGTAGGTTCCACTGTCATCATCTGTCACATTAGAGATGAGCAAATTGCTTCCACCCAACAATGAATACTTTTTAGACCTGTAAGATAGAACCACATGCAATGAGATGGTCAGTTAACATATGTGAACATTAGGCAAGACTTCAGAAGAGCAGATGAATTTCACAAATACATTGTAGGAAGAGATAAAATCCCTATGTCACTGAGGATCTCATATATCCCACCCGCTGAAGTAGAATTAATTCAAGGTAAACTTCTATGTGGAGGTTCTGTGCACTGATTCAAAGATTAACTAGATTAAATGTAACACTGATAGAATAAATGTAATAATATATAGAATAATAAATTTCTATTCTAAATCTAATAATAAAGAATTTCCAAATAATCTAGTATGATTCAATCATTTTAAATTTTAGGAACTCTAAAGCAAAATAAATGGTTCTCCAGAGTGGCAATCTATGTCTTCTATTCTGACATATAACTCAGTCACCATTTAAAAAGTCACATTTCAAGCGAGTAGTGACCAGATTTTCAATTTGCGTTCATGCCCTCAGAAACAGCATTAATAGTGTTCTATGTCTTATTGTTGCCTAAATACTTACATTGGACACAATTTAAACAATATTGCATCACAGAAATTAAATGTGTTAAAAGGGGGTATACTAGTCATTCTAATCAATGAACTTAATTTCTTCGTGAGATACATTTAATAAACCTGTTTTAGGCTTAGTATTTCATTCAATTAAGGACTTACTTTCTCGCTCTCTCTTAATTATTCATCTTGGGGTAATCCAATGTGAGCCATGTTCTCCAGCATTATCTTATGTTTATATTAATTGGGATAATAAGAAGCACATTTGGAACTAAGATATCTATGAAAACAACAAAATTGACATGCACAAATTTTAACTGAAGAAATGCTTTCTTTTCTATCTTCTCCATTATTGAAATATAATGACAGTGAGAGATTGTTTCTATCTATGGGATACCATGGGATGGTTTGATGTATGGGCTGGTGAAATGTAAACATGTGTATGTAATATAAAGTGAATGTCATTACAAGCTAGGTAATGTGTGTGTGCCTGCCCCGTGCAGGCATGAGTGTGCATGTGCATGTACATTGTGTTATGAACATATAAGTTACCTCCTCCTTATCACATTCCTGTGATGACATTATCTGAATGTCCTTGCATCTCAATATCCACTCCTAACTCAGTCCTCAGCTTTTACTTTATTTACTCATCATTGACTCCCCAATGGTTAATTATCTTTTATACATTAATCAGTGTCAAGGAATTTGAGAACATATCTATTTTGGAAAACTGGAACTTTTGGAGACTATCAGGAAGTGGATACCTCAGTTGGACAACTTCCCCTGCGCCCCCGTAACCAGGTGAAACTTGGTGGAGGGTAGCCAGAAACACAACACTCCAGGACAGCATCTTTTCCTTCAGTGGCAACTACATTGGATGGTCTTTGCAGAAAATAGAGTTGCCTATGCAGCCCTGGATCTATGAAAAAGAAAACATAGTGTCATATATCTCATCAAAAATTGTAGCTAGAATCTTGTGTCATCACTATGATTTAAGATAATGAAGAGTAAAAGATAGCAAAGTAGAAGTATGCCGGGAGCTTTTGTGGGATAAAGTTGTGAAAGAGTTTCTCTACTCCCAGAACGTGGAACCTGACATTCGAATATTCTTAGCTGCTAAGCTCAAAACATAAGGTAAAAGGCATAAGTCAGGATACTGAAAATAACCTTGATTCTACTTTCTTCTGCTTTTTAAAAATCACTTTTATGTATTGATATGCAAGACAAATAAAGATATTATAATTAGGGAGGGGAAATGTTTGCTTTTTTCCAAGAAGAAGTTATACCTGCTTAAGTTTTCTTGCTTACTTTCTAAAAAATAAGTCAGGCTATGGTATGATTTTGTTTTCATTACAAAATTTTAAAATGTTTCCAAAGACTGAACTTGTCCCCAATGCTAAGAACTTGGGTGACTGAAAGAGTTCAGCCTCTCCCTACTTTGTCTCTCACACCACTTCATCTGTATATGTATTATCCATGTTTACTAGGCACGGGTGTGCATCCAGACTTGTCTTCCACATCACTTGGTCTGTATATGTATTACCAATGTTTACCAGCACAGTGTGCATCCAGACTCATGAGCTTCATTCTTACTCTCACTTGACCAATAATTCACAAGTTTTCCCTCACATGGAATAAGCAGAAATTTAGAGCCTAAGGGTAGGTTCAACAACTAGGAACTGCTCTTCAGAGCAAAGTACATCCTTCCTTTTCATTATGTGAGTTCCAGGTGCAATGCGTAGACTTACCTATCAATGTACCTGCCTTATGTTTCGCCTAACCAGTTCATCAATGTCCATCAGGCCGATTTCTTAAAGGAATATATTACTGAGTCTCTTCATTTCCCATTAAAAATCCACACCCTTCTAGGGAAAGTTCAATCAAGGGTATAACTTAATGAAATATGTGTAATTAACTTGTCAGCACACTCAAAAGAAAAATCCGGAATGCAAAGAAAATCTTACATCTAGGGAGAGGTGAGTGGAGAGTCATTAATGAGGCTTAGATGCAACCATGCCACAGTGCAGGCTGCTGCTGATCTCATAGGAAATTATAATGAGAAGGGACCTGGAATACACTTGAACTACAAAGGTTGTCCCAGGCCAGATTGACTATACATTTTTTTGAGTGTGCAGTCACTGAAGAAAAACAAATTACTAGGCTAATAATTTTCAATTTAAATACTCAGTATCGAAATTCACACCTTTCTCAGTCTTTCCACATCTCCCTCTGGCAATTTCAATAACAGAAATAAATCATCTTCATAATGAAAACATTTAAAGCATTTTCCCAAATGTTTAATTGTTACTTTTAAAAAAAAGTTGAAAAATGCCTCAAGAATTTTGGAAATCATGGAATGGCATATTTCCCCTCTCACAAATGACTTTCCAAATAAACAAATATGGTTCATAGATAACACCACCTGAGGAAAATATTTTCTGAAGTGGAAAAATTCCCCATAATGTATATTTGTATGTAGCTGTCCTTTCTAAGGCAGACAATTCATTCAGACAAAACCCCTCACCACCTGCTTCCAGGAATAGCATTCTTATACATGCTATACAAGACCACTGTGTATCCCCCTGGTGAGATCTGCTTAATATTATTTTGTACCTAAAGGAAAATTTACTTGGAATGTTATACAAGTAAATTTTTTTTTAACCATGGAATAAATAGTGCAACTCAGATTATTGTACTTTTTTTATTGAAATCATAACTCCCACATAAAATAGTTAGTTAATGTTTGAGTACTTTAAAAATATTCAATATATTAACAACTTGGAACATATAAAACAGGGGGTGGTTCCTTAGTGTTCCTCATCTTCTGCTACCGTCTCTCCTATCATGACTGTGTTACACATTAAGAATAGCCCAGTTGTTAAACCCAAGGTTAAAATAGTTATTAAATTATTTCCAAAGTTTAAATTAGGGTTAATTATTTCATATAGGCTTGCATAAATGTACATTATATATGCATCATTAGAGTATTCAATTTCTTTACATATTCCTCTTTCCTCTATTTTCCCTACTTTAAATCTTAAGGGGATAGCTGATCATTTCACTACTTACACTGCTGAACATTTTTGAGAATTGAAATTATTTGCATTTCTCTGTGTTAAGATTTTACCTGAGTAACATGACAGATTATAGGTTAATTAAGTGGTATTATTCATATTGATAATTACCAATCACATTATATACTATCTTTTAAACTGCACTTTTAAAACTCTGCATTATATTGTTAACATTTCTTCTTTTTATGGCTGATACCTGGTCCTTATTGTTGAATAATATGTAATTTTATCACTATGTCCAGCTTTTTCATTAGTTTATTAGTTCCCACCAATGGAAGAATAATGTAGTTACTCTCAAGTGTTTGATGCCCATGAACAGATCTTCTATTAATACATATTGATTTTGATTACACTTAATTAAATTTGTTATTTGACTACTTCACACATGTACACAATGCATACTGATCACTCGGATGTCCTATACCCTCCCCTTTACTATCACTATCCCCTCCAGGTCCCTAAAAATCTACTTATCGTGTTTTGTTTTGGGGAACCACTGAGTTTAACTAGGCCTATTGAAGTGGGTTTGGAGCTATGCACTGGAGCCTAATCAGCTCAGCATTAGGTACACAATCGGAGACAATAAAATCCCATGCCCAGAAGCCATCAATAGTCAATAGCTTAGTAGTAAGGGCCATGACGATGAACCTCCCCTTGCTATGTTCTCTACAACTTCTCATCAGGTTAAATGTCAGCACAGGATTCTTGAAGCTCCCTCCCCCTGGAACTAAGTGGCTCTTTCTCCATGGCTGTGTTTTGCTTTGGTCAGAAGGTTGTGAAGCAGTTGTTCTGTGTAAGTTCGAGGACTGAGTACCCAAAAAGACTTTCCTTTTGTCATTGTACCATGGTTGGCAACCGAGGCCCAGTTGACAGTTCAAACCCAACTGCCAGATTGCGAAGAAGACAATGTTTTATTTATTTATTTTTCTTATTTTACATATCGATCCCAGTTCCCACTCTCCCTCCCTCCTCGCTTCCTCCCTCTTTCCACCCCCTCCCATGCCCCCCATCACACCTCCCATTCCCCCCCCAACTCCACATGTAGGGTGATGCCTTCCTGGAGGGGTCATCTAAATCTGTCAAGTCATTCTAGAGTAGGAACTAGGCCCTCCATCCTGCTTCTAGGTTAAGGGAGTATCCCTCCATGGGGAACCTGCTCCCAACAATCTTAAATGAGCCCCCAAAACAGGAATTGCTGGGACGTGCTACACAACCAGAAGAGGCAATAAATCTCCCTGTCTTAGGGGACCACATTTGGTTAGCTATCCCTGCAAAGAATAGCAACCGAAACAAACACATAACAATGAAAGCAAGACAACCCAACTGAACAGTTTAAAATACAAACTCGCCATTGCAGTTATTGTCTTTGTTTGCTGTGGCGCCCTTATACTGTTAGAATGATCTGGCCATCTGTAGAGACATACACAAATTCATTTAAAGTGAAAATTTTAGAGAGGCACTGGAAAAACGATATCTCTATTTTAAAATTAGTAGAATAAAGATGACTATCGAAGTTAACTGTGTGTGATAGAACCTCCAGGTGGTTTTCATTTTCACCTTTAAATTTTTCTATATTTTCTAAAGGTTTTCAAAATGGCATGCAGTATTTTTGGAGTGAAGAATTATTTTAAACGCCACTGTGGCAAGGTATATAGAACTTTCACAATGAGAAAAAAGAAATCGTAAAAGTTAATGACTAAAACTCCAGGCAAATATTTAAAAGCAAATGGAAAATTCTCCCTTTAAGCTCCATGGGGGAGTTTAATGAAAAAACTAGAACTTTTAGATAATAACTCTTTTTGTCTAAATTGACTTTAATTAAAAACAGGGTGGAATTAGTAGTTAATGAGAAATGTCATTTGTATTCTAGCTATATGTACAGAATAGCTAGACAAGTGTTTGTGGAGTACTACAAGTAATAGAACATGTGATATGTTTTCAAGTGAATTAATGACACACATTCATTATAGTAAAGGTGGGGTCATGTGAATATAAGTTTTCAATGTGATATAAATTGGATGAGAGATCATCTTGTTGCTATTTATTAAACTGTACTTACACTTCAGACGGTTTTATAGGTTTAGAATATTTTAAAATAAAATTCAGAGAGAGTGTAAGTATGGTTACTAGATAACAAATTTGGAAACTTTTCTGCATTAAAATTAATAAAAAGTGCTCCCGTGACAAATGTTTACAATAATTATAAAGAAACCTTCTGTAATATAAAACTTATGAATATGTACAAAATTATAAGACTTATAATTCTAAATTGATTGTAATGATCATAATCCTCTTCAATTAAAACCCAGTTTAGGTTTTTTTTTTTTTTTTAAGCTGGTCTTTCTGCCATCAGAGTGGCAGAATAGTAAGCAGAAAATACTTATTAGAGGGATATATATATATATATTTCCTCCTTTGGGAACTACAGGGATTCCTTGGAGCACCAAATGACCTCATAGCAATTTTTTGCCTGTGACTGTTTGTCCCATATTCTCTGCCTCTTTTACTTCTTTTTAAATGGAAATTTTGGCCCACTTTAGCAACATCAGGTCTGAATTGGAGGAGACTATTCTAAAATCATTAGAAATTGAATTACATGGTAATGTCAATTAAGGATCTGAAACTGCTGGTTATTACTGAGGAGTCCAAATAATTCTCCTCAGTTAGCTGAACCTTACAAAATGGACATTTCAAGAGTAAACATGATTTTCAAACAAAAACAGCATTGAAAATAGTGGTAGTTTTTATACTTGTATAAATTTCTTAAATGAGCATCTTGATTAAAAATAACTTGGTTGTTATTATTTCTTTATTCATATATTTCACATAGGAATGTTTTTTGCAT